AACTCGGCCAGGGCCTTGGTCGCCGACCCAATGCTGGCTGTGAAGCCGGCGATCCACTTCCCTGTGGCGTCTCGAAGGAGAACACCAGCTCCGGCTTGACCCGGATTCCCGCACGAAGCACCATCAATGTTCAGAGCTATCCATCCTTCTGGGGGTTGTTTCCAGCCAATGTTGGCTGTGACACGACCAGCTGGTGCTGATGATGAAGTGAGCAAGTGATGAAGTGAGCAAGTGAGGGAGGGGAAAGAGCCGCTTGCACCCCCTAAAAGATGTAGTGCACATGTTCTTCCACATCATCCAAACTGCAATACAGAAGAAAGTCCCCCAGGAGGGCCCCATGTCAGTGGAAGCTTCCTTACCAATGTTCTCTCGCAGCCAGACATCCTGATCCAAGCTGAAAAAACGCCCCTGCTATGCTCCCGGGATCTGGCTGGTCCAAAAATAGCGCGCCGGTGGGCAATCTCTGAGGATATGCATAATTGTTTCTGGGGTTCCCTGGCATCTGGAGCAGAAGGGGTTACTAGCGCACTTCCTCGCAAAACGAAGCGAGTTCGTGGCTATTTTCCCCAGGAGAACAGTCCACATGAACATCCTGATCCTCTCAGGAGTCGGAAGTCTCCAAATAGTTCTCCAAAGCTTCTCGTCCGGATCTTGGAATCCCTGGTTTTGCAGCCTGTATGCCGACTTTGTCGAAAAGTGCCCGTCCGCCGAGGCTGTCCAAAACAGCTCGTCAGTCCCACTGGATAAGGTGTCAACAGCGATGGATGTGATTTTGTGCTGGATCTCTATCGGCAGCAGCGTGTTGAAGAGCTCGGTCTTCCATCTACCCTCCTGATCCACAAAGTCCGCTACCCTGGCTTCCTCAAGATCATCCGGGACCTGGCCAAGAGCAACCTCCTTGAGGGGTACCTGCAGACACCAGATATCATGCCAAAATTTAGTGTTCCTACCATTCTTAATGTTCCACGCACAACCTTTTTGAAGAAGGCTGGAAGCTTTAGCAAAGCTCTGCCAGGTAAAGGAACTTCCCTGAATTGGTCTTAGAATGTCCAGACCGTCCCTCTGTCTTCCATATTTTGCCCGCATCACCTTGGATCAAAGGGCATCTCTGTCCGTTATGAGCCGCCATGCATTCTTTGCCAGCATTGCCAGGTTCGCTTGTCTGAGGGAACGCAGCCCAGCTCCTCCTTGGGTCTTTGGATAAGTCATCTTGTCCCAGGCCACCAAGTGCATCTTCGGTTGATTCTCCTCCTCGCCCCAGATGAAATCCCTATTGATCTTGTCTATGCTTTTGCACACTGCACCCGGAATCATCTCAGTATTCATATGATAAACAGGTATGGAGGATGTTACCGAACCAGCAACAGTGAGACAGGCGGCCACCGAAAGCCTTCTAGTCTTCCAGGGAGCCAGCTTTTTCTGGATACGCAGCACCAGACCTTGATACCTTGTCTTTATGACCCGCCCGTGAATGGCCTCAATGCCGAGATATTTCCCTAAGTCCGACTTGAGAGGAATATCAGCTCTTTGGCTCAGAGCCATTGCCTTGGACCTGGGAATGTTCGGAGAAATGTGCACCACCGACTTGTTGTAGTTGATCCTCTGCCCTGAGCTAAAGCAAAAATCATCCAGGCAGACCTTAATGGTCCTGATCTGTCTCGACTCGGCTTCAACAAAAAGTAAAAGATCATCTGCAAAAAACAGGTGCGTGAGAGGCGGGCCGTTCTGGTTAAGTTTCAACGGTTTCCACTGTTTATCCAAAACTGCTCTATCTATCAAATGCGAAAGACGCTCCATACACAAGACAAAAAGATAAGGGGATAGAGGGTCTCTCTGACGAACTCCGCGGGTTGGGGTGATCGGTTGAGAGAGAGAGCCATTCCAGAGCACCCGCATCTGGTTCTGCTCCACACAGTACATAATACATTTGATCCATGAACTCGGCAGCCCTATCTCCATCAGCGTGTCTCTAAGAAAATTCCACCTGAGTCTGTCATAAGCCTTTTCCAGATCAATCTTGAAGATCATCCCTCCTTTCCTCCCCTTCTTTTTCCTGAAAGAGTGCAGAATTTCCTGAACTGCGATAATGTTGTCCGTAGTCTGTCTCCCAGGAATGAAACTGCTTTGTCTTGAGGAGATCAATTTTCTCATAACCGGCTTTAGCCGGTTAGTCATGACCTTCGTGATAGCCTTCAGACTGACGTTGTTCAGGGAGATGGGCCGGAGCTGCGTCACCGTCTCTGACGTTTCCACTTTAGGAATAAGCATAAGAGTAGACTCCAGGACTGAAGCTGGCAGGGAGCCGGTGGAGAAGAACGAAAGAGCCATATCAGTCAAACTCTTCTCCACTATCTGCCATAGCTGCTGATAAAAGGCTGCCTGGTATCCGTACGGTCCGGGTGCCTGGTAGGGCTTCATGTCAAAAACTGCTTGATGGATATCCTGAATAGTGAAAGGGCGAAGGAGGCATTGCAGCTCGGACGGGCTCAACCGGGGAAAGGCCTGCTTAGGCAATCTGTCTTCATAGGAAGGGTTATCCTGCATATAGAGATTAGCAATAGAATCAAAGACTAAAAAAGCCACTGAAGTAGGATCATCAATCCATACTTCATTGGAGTCCTGTAAGGCTTTGATCTTGTTGCGTCTTCTCTTAATGTTGGCCTGTTGATGGAAGTAGGCAGCATTTCGCTCTCCAAACTTGACTCATTTCTCCCTAGCTCGTTGAAACCAAATGATTTCCTCTTGCTCCAACACCTTGTCAAGTTCAGCTTCCAACTTGGCGTGTAGTTTTGCCAGGCCAGGTGTGAACATGGATGCCAGCCTTGCCTCCACGCCTCGAAGCCTCCCTAATAGGCGTCGTTTCCGTTGTTGAACATTTCCAAACACATTAGTGTTCCACGTCTGCAACGCGGTGGCCAGCTCGCAAAGAGCATCAGGTAGCAGTTCCTCCTGTTTCCATTGCCCTGTCACAAAATCCATAAAATTATTATGCGTGGACCAAGCAGCCTCAAATTTAAAGGGACGAGAGAGAGAGGTAGAATGCCCCTGGGTGGCCACCGAGGTAAGAATCGGATTGTGGTCTGAGTGGAGGCGAGGCAGATGAAAGACCGAGGTATTGGGGAAGGAAGTGTTCCACGCCAGATTACACAGGCTCCTGTCAATACGGCTGGCTTTGTAAGTTGCCTGCTGGGTGCCTCTAGTCCAGGTGAAACACGGGCTAGAGAAACCGAGGTCAATAAGCTCAGCCTTGTTGATCTGGTCATTAAAACGGCGACAACGGCGAGCAGTAGAAGCCGACACCGCCCCAGACTTTTCTTCCGGTGTACGGATGGCATTAAAATCTCCCGTCACAATCCATGGAATATTCAACTCACGACTTTGAACAATGAGTCTATCCCATAAATCCTTCTGTTGGCTTTGTCTGGGAGCGGCGTAGACAGCAGGGAGGACTCAAGGAATATCATTTTCCTGGAAGAAGCGCATAGAAAGATGTTGACTACAGGCGGAAATGATCTGAATTGGGAACAAGCCGACGTCCCAGAAGACCCAGATACCCCCCATTCTGCCCTCGGCTTCCACTCTGATCACATTCGGGTAACCTAGCTTATCACACACCACATTGGCCATGTTTCCGCTGATCTGCGGTTCAAGTAAAACAAGAAAATCAGGTCTGTGAGTTTGGATAGTAAGCCGCAAGGATCGGGCAAAAGCCTTACTCCCAGCTCCACCCACATTCCACGAGAGGATTTTAATATTATTAGACAAAGACATAGACATAAACAAAACAAAAAGAGGTATTGACGCAGGAAAAGGCCCGAGTTCACCAAATCAAGAAGTCGAGGTTTGCTCTATGGAAATCCCCGTCGCCGTCGCAGAGGAAGCTTCATCCATTGGAGTAGTTCCTTCCTCGATCGTCGGCAGCTTCATCGGCGGAGTCCCCGCAGCAGTCCAAGCCTGAATATCCTGAAGGTGAGCGAGGCTAGACGCGAATTGGGTTTGGATTTCTTCTCCTTGACTGGGGACCATATCTGCAGGGGCTTGCACAGATTCAATTTGATTGGCGTGACTCTTTTGGCGCCGTTCTTATTCGCTTTGGTATTTTTGAATTTCAGACCAGTCTTCGACGGCGAGCTCCCCCTTTGCCGAGACGAGTTCCATTTGGAAGGGGAGAGGACAAGAATTTGCATATCAGTTCCATTAGCACCTTTCACAGACTGGATCGGGAGTGAGAGATGTGGACTGGCCACAACCGAGGAGTGGGCTTGAATGGTTTCGCTGATGGAGTCGAGCATCGGGCCTTTAGTGGGCTGATCTGGCCCTCGTGGCGGGTCAGAGGAGGTGGAAGCCCAATGGCCTGCTTCGCTTGTTCTTTTTCCCTTGGCCCCCGAGTTCGTTCCTGGGCCCGAGCCCAGCAGCCCTTTTACCTGACCAGCTTCTTCAACTCCCACTTTCCCTTTGCCTTTCGTACTTTCATCTTTCCCTTTCCTGGAATTCGAGTTTCCTTTGTTGTCGAGAGCAGCCGGCCGTTGCGAGGAGGGATTCTTGGGGTTTGCAGGAGGGGACGATCCCGCACCTTCCTTAATTCGACTGGCCCCCTTCCCGATTTTGCTCGGCGCTCCTGTAGAGGTACCGCCCCCATTAGACTCTACTTTCCCTTTTCGTTGCCCATCCCGCGGATTTCGGTTACTCTTTTTGGTGACCAACATCCACGACCCAAATCCTGCTTGCGGCTCCGGCGGGATCTCCATCACAGGTTCCGGTGGCTGGCAGTCGCCAATGGCAAGAATCCCGGCCGGAGGTTCACAGTGACCGTCGGACAAGACTCGCCGGTGTGCCCAATTATTCCACACTCAAAGCACACCAGTGGGAGATTCTCATAAACCACCTTCTGCCACTCATCATCGAGATAGATCCTAGGGACCAGAGGCTTTGACATATCGACCTCAACCGCGATCCGGGCAAATTTCGCCCTCTGCTGATTCAGGGTATGATAGTCTAGTTTAATTGTTCGGCCGATCAGGTTGCCCAAAGAGATTAGGACTTCCTTGTGGTAGAAGTGGACTTTCAGAGCCGGTAGCTGACACGATCATCTTCTTTGGTAGGGGATCAGAAGTCTTGAAACGAGGACTCCATTGCTGAACCAGTATGTAGTGATAGAAGATGGTCCATGGTCCATTAGTGAGGGCCTTGAAGTAATCCTGTTCATTCTCGAGCTTGACAAGAAAGCAATCATGGTTTAGATCCATCACCTCCATGGATCCAATTGGACGCCATTGCGACCGAAGGCGTGAGCAGAGCGTGGTGTAGCCAACCTTGATGCCCATTAACCGAACTACCAGAGCTCTTTGCCAAGGCGCACATAGACGACTTTTGAACTTGGGGGAGACTTTGAGGGCAGGTTCACCAAGGTGTTCACCAGGAATCAGATCGTGCTCTCCCACCGGAAGCCATTGCTTGGCTGCGGGTTGTGGGTTCGCCAAAGCCTTCACTCCGGTTAGCACACCGGCGTATCTGGGCGGTAAGGAAGTCGTCTTGCCTCCAGATCCTTCCTTCTCCGTGAAGATCATCGGCTCATCCTCCACTGCACATGAAGGTGTAGCGGGATTGTTGATCAATGGAACAGTAGTCATAGAGGTCAGGGAAGCCAATAGCTGAGCTGTATCCGACGACCTTCCAGATTGAGCGATTGCGACCGAGGGGTCTGTCATTTCAGAGGATTCCGGCGAGAGCATTTCAGAGCATTTCAGATCCAAAAGTGTGGTGTCTCGTCAAAGATGAGTTCTAATCCACTATGTAATACATTAAGTCTCTCATCTAATGCATAATATAGTAAGCATAGGTTCAAATCAAAGGCAGAAATTAAACACACACGCTCATATATATTGAGGGCTGATTTGGGTGTTAGGCTGCACTCAGTTGTCGACAAAATTAAACAAACATTGCAGCATTGTCACTACAAATTATATTCTGTCTTTTTGTTTCGGTGATTCTATAGTAGGTAACGATGATGAAGGGCGGGAAGCAGAGCCGCATGATTATTAATTTATTATGCATAATTGCTTGATATATTCCAATGGTTTTGTGTTTCCTTTTTTGTGGTAGTAGTTATTAGTTAACTAGCACATGCATCATGATTTCTTATAGATGTCGATCAATTATTAGAATTATTAAGTCCCAAGTTCCAAAAAAACCGGAGTTACTGTTCATTAAGAAAAATTCGGGAGTACTGTTCACTCGGTGATTTTTATAAGCTACAACTAAACCTACACTAAAATTGGTGTTCCTAAGCAACCTCTGGCGGCTAGCTAAGCAAGCAGTGGCCCTTCTTTTAATCGGATGCCGCTTCCCCTTTCGACCCCTCCTCTGACGCCGCCTAGCTACCCGCCCAGCTTCCAGAACCCTTCTCCCTTCCGAAGCCTACGCCTAGGCCGATTTTCCCTCCTCCTACCCAATCCTCGACGCCACCAATAAACGGCCTTACATCCTCCTCATAGTGATTCAGTCTCTGTTAGATGCAGGGAGATTTTGTTTCTTTGGCGATGGGATCAGATGATCAGAGGAGGGTAATCGAAGGAAGCAACCCATTCGACCGGCGAGTTCTAAGATGAAGATGAAGAAGAGGGATTGGGTGGCGTCAAATGATTGTTTTCTTCGTTGATTAGCTGGTGAACTCATTCTTATTTTTTTGACAATGTGCTCACTCCTATATATTTCTTCTTCCCCACCAAATTGAAGTCTTAATCCATTATCCTCTTTGGGAAATTAGATTTCCTTCTCCGCAAAACCGAGACCATTCTTCTTCCCCACCAAATTAAAGTCTTAATCCATTATCCTCTTTGGGAAATTGGATTTCCTTCTCCACAAAACCGAGACCATGGGAAAGAGCTCCTCCCCTCCACGAAAGCGTGTCCCTAGCTAGGTGAGTCTACCAAATCTTCATGGAGAGCGGAACGAAGTAGAGGAATCCATCATGGGTTGGGTTTGAGGCACTTTGAGCTATACTAATACCAAGTTAAACGCCTCTATAAGTTACCCATGCGATAGGTATAAAGTTTAGAGCCACTAATTGTCATGTGTTGACTGATCTGATTTGTATTAGTTCTTTAAGTTTCCTTTGTAGTCCTTATCTACCTCCTAATCAAGAAAAAGTTGCTAATTGGTTGTGCAATTCATTTCAGGTTGGACTTAATTCCAATTTGAACAGCACAGGTGTTGGCATTCTTCCAAATGACATGAATGAAAAAAGTGGCCTTTGTAAGTATTCATGTATTTATAATCCAAATATGGCCTTTTCAGAACACGTGAATTGATTCATGTGTTATTGGCATGATTCATCTACTTATATTTTGTTACTTCGTGTTTACCATTGTGAACTCATGTTAGTGTACAAACGAACTCAATGATAGGAGATAGGTGAGAACTCTATTTGCAATCCGACAAGTTCTTTGAGCTGCAATTCAAAGGCAATGGGTCATTTTGCTGACAATCTGTATCAACGTGACTAATGACCGAGTTACTAATTGCTAAGGTTTTCATATTTGATTTTACTTTGTAATGCGCTCTTGAATCCAAAACAGAACCATATAGAAGAATGCTTGCGAGTTCAGTGATTTTGTCAATACTAGCAAAATTAATGCGCTTAATGCTTTTATAATACTGTTTCCCAAGACGAACTTAATTAAACTGCTGCAATTGTTAGCTATGGTTGTGTCAGAGAAGATAAAAGGAGTAGCTTAATCAAACTGGTGAACAACTGGTTTGTGGTTGTGATGCTGTCAAGTATTGGAGCTGCTATTACTCCTTTTAATTTGAGCTTCTATTATTAATTTTTTCTCATCTTCAATCAGCTTACTTGGGCTATGCTTGGAACACTGTTTGGAGCTTCTACAAGTACATTTACCCCTTCTATTTTTCTCTAACATTAATTATCCAAGAGTGAATGACATATTGGCAGAGAGCCAGCCCATAAAACATCTTATTTCGGTAAGATTGCTTCACATATGCTTAAAATTGTTGCGAACTTCATGTTGTGGTTTAATTCTTGCTGGTATAGCCAAGCCTACTAATGTTCTTCTCACCTCAACTAATGCATTGGATTTTCCAATTGATTTGGTTCGCTTCGTTTGCAGCGAAAGAGAACTGGAGCGCTGCTATGAGTGCTGCATAATTACTAAGGTGAATCCTTTCTCTTTAGTAACTGTTCAGTCCATGTACTCATTGAAAGCTTAAAGGATTTTGGTATGTTGTTTACTGAGATTACCCTAACTCCCTAAGTGTCACAAACTTTTGTAAGTAACACACTGAATGATGTATGCTTAATGAACAAGGACACCAAATGAGGTAAACGGGGGCAACTCATTAGACTTATCTAATAATTCTAAGGCAAAATACATCTGTATATCCACAACTATTAGATTTGTGACAAATATATCCACAACTATCAAAATACACGAAATATCCAAAAATCGGAAGGTTGTGTGACAAATCTATCCACTTCCGTCTGAAACTATAACGGCGTGTCAGACGGCGTTAAATTGACTAACGGAATGCTGAATCAATGCCAGCTCACCTGCCACATAAGCCAAAAAGCAACCAAATTTTACACATAGATGCCAAATAGGCTAGTTGAATAAAAGCAAAATACAGCTGTATATCCATAACTATCAGGTTTGTGACAAATATATCCACCACTATCAGGTTTGTGACAAATATATCCACAACTATCGAAATACACGAAATATCCAGTATAAATAGTTGCCTTATGGTGAGCTTTATCCCTCAATGTAGTTGTTTTTTCAGCTCTTCAAAAGGTAATTTGCAGCATACATGAAGAAAATGAAAAACGGAGTAATGGTCCAGAAAGGCACGTAATTTACTTGCATTAATCCATTCTGGAGATATTTTCTACCATGGCCAATATCATTGCAGCTTGGTATTTCTGTCGTATCATTTGTAGGTTACTCATTGATGGTATTGGAGGCCAGGTGGAGTTAACCATGATTAGATTGATTCTGCAATTTGTTTGAACTGGCTCTCGGTTTTGAAGGTAGCTTAGGAGTGGGGTCATTTGAGGTTTGCAACTGTTCCCCATTGAATTGTATTTGACATTTCCCTTTTATAGAAAGAATGTTTATCGTAGGCAACCAAATCAACTTATGTGCATCTTCAAATTCAACTGGAGATCAATCTTCTACACTATTAGACTCACCGTAAACACAACTCAATATACTATTGTGAAGCATGAACCATTCCAAAAATCATCACTTCAAGATTGTGGTAAACTAACATATATATAAAAAAGCTAATTATCGCCGCAAAGCGCGAGTCAAGTAACTAGTATTAATTAATATAACCAATATCTCTACTTTGGCGGTGTGTAATAAGCATTGAAACCTTTCATTCGCGTTTTGTTTTTCCTTCTCAATATCGGTCTTAATACGATGATGACTTCCCTTGCTCCTGCAATGCACACTACTGAATCATAACATTGTGGTAACAACCGACAAATTTCAAGAGTACATCTAATATAATATTGGATCCTAATAATATGGATTTAAATATTTATTTGTAGTTAATTATAATTTGACAATATACTCATCTGCCTACATAGGCACGTAGGGAACCCATTATAGTAAGTCAATTACTACTTTCTTTGAGGAGGAAAGTGAATTGGTAGCTCAAAGATTATTTTTGCTTGACGTTACTTGGTACAAGTTGTAACAAAAAACGTGGAACAACGTCCAGCACATATTTTATATGTTCACATAATTTATCAAATTTTAACAGAAATTAATTTGTATTCAGGTGCCCCATTTTTATATATTTTCATGCAGACCTATAAAGTAACCCAACCAATTATTTCGTACAATCTAATCAATCAATAAACCTATCTCATCAACCATTCCTTATTACGTGCATTTTAAGCACATGTAATCCAATCCGATATCATTTTAGCGAAACAAAACAAGAAATAGAGTTTGTGGCAAACAACTCTTGCCTCTTGGTACAACTTTACAAATGATCTTTTGTCCACTCCATCACCGTTTCGATGATAAAAGAAATTCACGGACAGGGTAATAAATGGAAGAAGGAGGAAGAAAATAAATATTAATAAAAGAAAATGAATAGTAAAGGATTGGGCTGCAGCCCGCAAGGTAAACCCCTTACGATTAAGTGGTTCAATGCCCAAAATACTAATACCAAGATACTTAGAGGTACAAATACAATAGCTAGGGCCAGAATGGCATTATAGTTTAACCAAATATTGATATGATATATATCGGATCCTATATCAAACATGGATATAATATATTATTTGTACTAAATTATTTGAGAAAAATATTCTTTTGGGTACATAGGCACCTAAGAAAAACAGTCTTCTGAGTATATGTGCATATGTTTATGGCATATACGAAAATGCTGAAAATTTTGTCGACAAACCAAGATTGTGTGTCATATAATGAACTGTTTAATAAATCACTCTGGTGAGATTCATATTTGTTTTGGCAAAGCCGTATATATGTTTGGTGCTTTGGTGAACCGTAAAAATCAAGACTTGATACAAGTTCGACGTCATATTCAAGTTATATAAAACCATCCAAGATTGAACCAATCTTTTTTTACTTTTGACGTTCACTTTGACACACATCAATTCATCACATGGCCTTACGGATAGCAGTAACAATACGAATTCCCTACGTACCGTAGTTAATTACATATAGTAAATACTTGCAAATATTGTTGCGTTGGGATTGAACGAAAAAAAGTTTCCTTAATGCAATATTATGCATCCCAATGCATGTAAGGGACACTTTAATTTGAATAAGAAGGGAAATTAGGAACTGAAAGTTAGAAATGGTCTTTGTCGGATTTGGGAGCGCCAAGTTTGAGCTTAAAATCAAGTGGTTCACCTGGTCATTGGCTGCGTGTTTATTTTTTACTGGGCTGAAACAAAAGTGACGTGCGGAAGGAAGGAAGTCACTTTGGAAATATAAATCCAGGCCTGGGTTTTTTCATACGATTGCACGTGGTATGAAACGCGTTTTTTTTTTTAATGAATTGAATTAATAGCGGATGAATTAACTTGGGAGTTCATTAATGTGGTTGGCCGGGTAATATAAAAGAGGGGGTTTGGTGGGAAGGTAAAGTCTGCACTCCACCATTTCCATAACCAAAAGAAAGAAAGCAGTGGCAAAACAATCAGTTGAAGAAAATATGGAGCGACTGACGGTGACATCTCTGACGCTCATTCTGATGATTGTTGGTCAAGGAGTCGTAGGTGATGTTTCTGGTGAAAAGGAGAAGGATAGGATCACAGATCTCCCTGGGCTGCCGGCTGGTACCCGTCTAGAGTTTCAGCAATACGCCGGTTATGTGACTCTATTCGGAGGGAACCAGGTCTTCTACTATCTGGTGGAGTACGACGGGAGTTCAGCCTCACCGGCCGAAGAAACTTGGCTCATAATGTGGTTTTCGGGAGGTATATATTAATTACTACATATATATACAACCCACTCACTATTATGCTATGTATTCCCATCTCCTTCTTATGTATCGATCCTTAAGGACTGTTTATATTTATTTTTAGGAAGAGTTTGTTCGTCGGTGGGCAGCGGTGGGATGCTGTACGCAGGGCCTCTCCGAGTCCAGCTAGATGGCAGCCTCAAGCTCAACCCATGGGCTCTTAACAAGGGTAAGTGGGAAACGTTTTATGCCGTTTATGTAACAATTATTATAACTGTTGAAGTAACACATGTGTTTTATTTTATAATCCAGTTGGAAATGCTGGACGCAGGGCCTCTCCAAATTGTTTGGGCTCCGAATTGTTATGGAAATATATGATAGTGGGTTGTAATATATGTAGTAATATATACCTCCCGAAAACCATATTATGAGCGGAGTTTCTTCGGCCGGCGAGGATGAACTCCCATCGTACTCCACCAGATAGTAGAAGATCTGGTTCCCTCCGAATAGAGTCACGTACCCGGTGTTGGGAGGAAACTTGTCATTAGCAAGACAAATTGTGTTATGCTTGGTATGGATGGGTGTTTGTGAAGTTGAGGCTTGTTATATTTGAATTGTCATAATGATGCCTTGTTTGACAAAGCTCACGGGCACTTGATTAACTTGTTGCGTTAATTTCAGTGATCAACTTTGTAATGGCATCATTTGATAGTAAGTAGTCTAGACTAGTGAACTGATTAAGATTGCAGGAAGAGAAGCTTACCTTGTATGCAGGATACACATAAGCTGTGCGAATGCTACAGGCCGTTCTAAGTTCCAAGTATCACACTAGGTGCATCTTTTGCAATGGCTTGGTGCTTAAGGAGAGTCATTCAATGACAACATCAGCAAGCGATCGTCAGCTCTGCATCAACAGGCTGCAAGGAGGACTTTCCTTAGACGGCAGATTCACAAATTAGGAGCATTCAAAGAAAAGGAGAAGCTTACCATTTCTGAGTGGATTCAGTATCTGGTGAACATGGAAATACAACTCAAGGCAACGGTCAGAATATAGAGTGTATAAAAAGGAGTCTTGGGTAGATAGAAGGGCAGACTTTTCGGAAGAATTAAAATCAGAGAATGCAAAGGGGATTTGCGAGTGATTTTGAGGGAAAAGTCAGCACAGGAGTCGGGGAGATTTCTGGGTTCTGATATTGGGAAAATATCAGGGTTTCTATCAGCTGGGTAGCCGATAGAGAGTAAGCTTCGATCAAGCGGGGAGCTGATCGAACGGGTTTGAGCAATTCTGTAAATTCGAGAACTTCAACGTAAAATCATTAGTGAAACTTCGGAGATCGCGCACTGCGTATCTCTGACCGTGGAGTAGTCAGTATTGGGATTCTTATTCTCCCAATACTGGAAACCACGTAAAAATCGTGTGTGTGTTTCATTTCAATTTTCAGTTCTGCTATTATTCTGCCTTTGTGTTTGTGTGCTCTGTTTCGTTTCATTTTGCAGGGGAGTTCGACTGGTGATTGACAGGAAGAAAGGAAGTCGAATCGAAATCCTGGAGAGAGTTCTCTTGATCGATGAACGACTCGAATTGATTTAATTTCAATATTTGTTTCTGGGTTCTAGGCTGTTGTGTTCTATGATGTGTTCTTCGTTTGGTTTTGTTAGACTTGTTGCAGGGTACAATTTGATCGAAGAAACAAGTAGAGAAGGTTAAAGGAAGGTAAATATAGTGGGCTTACTCTTGGCTTTCGGTTGACTTAAGAATTGGGCTTAAGCCTTAATTCTTTTCAGAACCACTGCTTCACAAACCAGGAAGTTATCTTCTCCTTCGTCGATCAACTTTTCCCCTTTCAAACATCTCTCACCTATTCTTAGCTATAGCTAGCTTCGAGTAAGGTTTTGCAGGTGGCTTAATTGACTAACTATTCATTGGAATTGAGCCAAAGTAAAGAAAGGCGTCTCGCGCTCGACGCACCAACACGTGGTATCAGAGCCTGGTTCCGTCGAATAAGGTTCAACAACCTCCGGAGAACCAGAATGGCGTCGACCTCGGCAAACAACAGTGACTTCTTTCTCGGAGATGGATTCGCGTTAAATCGGCCTCCGCTATTTGCTGGAGTTCATTATGGGTACTGGAAGGACAGGATGGAATTCTTCTTTCTCTCCCATGATCCAGAACTCTGGATAATCGTACAAGAAGGACCCTACGAAGTGAAGACTACACGATGGGAGTGGACAGACGACGACAAACATAAAATTCAGCAGAATTCACGGGCAACCAATATTATGTATTGCGCCTTAGGACAAGAAGAGTGTCATCGTATATATGGATGCAAGACAGCAAAGGAGATTTGGGATAAGCTCCAAATTACATATGAAGCCATGGAAGATTCGAAGAATTTGATTGGGGTTGAACTCGACGACGTGAATGAGTCTCTCATTACTTGCGAGGAAGTTTTAAGAAAAGAAGATAGTAATGTGCAAAGTTACTTTCCGTCGAAGGCAGTTGCAGAAGTAGTGAATGATGATTTTGAGCATATGAAGGATGAAGAATTGGTCATAATCGGTGAACATATCAATAACCTGCTTAGCCGAAGAAAGGAACAAAGAAGGTATTCAGTAAACAGAAGGAAGGCAACAGAATCTGAAGTTCAAGATCAAGAGTTTTCAAAGCGAGAACCATGTAGGCAAAGTTTGAGAACAAGAAAGGATCTTGAAACAAGTCGGCTGCAGTCTGAGTGCTTCATCAGTGGGAGACAAGAGCATGTTAAGTTCGAGTGTCTCCAACCAAACAGTAAAGAGGCAATGGTAGCATGGAGCTGTAGTGAGGTGAATAGTGAAGAAGAGGGAGAAGTTGAACAATTTGCTTACATGGCGATTGCTACCACTAAAGAAGAACCTGAACAACTAGCATCCAAGAAGGCTCATCCAGGTTCAAGCGAGGTAAATAATTCTGAACTCTATGACTTCGAATACTATAGCGATGATGATCAAATGATAACAACAATTAGGGATATTCAGGTCGAATTTGGTAATGTTAAGCAAAAGCATATCAAACTGAAATTAGATCTTGAGATAATGACTAAAGAATGCAATAAGCTGAACATGGAAAATCAACTACTGAGTGAGAAGTTAGAGGATTATAATAACAAAGTTAGAAGTTTAGAATCAGAACTTGTAGAGATTAAGAAAGAAAATCTTGTTCTAAACGAGAGGATAATCAAGTCTGGATCCTCAAATGAAAATCTAGAATGCCATTATACATCCTGTGAACAAACTAGAAGAAGTAAATCGAAATCTAGATCTAGCCCATCACATGATCACGATAAATTTGGTTCTCAAACTGAATGCTTTTACTGTCATAAACTGGGCCATCTAAAAAGGGACTGCAAGAAAAGATTAGCTGCTCAATATAGACTAAAAACTATGAGATGTTTTCACTGTGATGAATTAGGACATACAAAGAGTCACTGCAAGTTTAATCTACTAGCACACACCTATCGAAATAGGAAATCTTGCTATACGTGTCATAAACCCGGTCACTTGAGTTTCAACTGTCATTTTAAGCAATCTGATTTCCTAGAAAAGAATCGAAAGGAACCCAAGCTAGTCTGGGTTCGCAAAACAACATAATTGTTAAGTGTGCAGGGTTGTTCCCAAGTGAGCATGGGAACGATCGGATGAGCTATCGGAATCGACGCTCACATCGTATGAAAGGTAATAACAAGTTGCCTGCTGGTCCTATAGAAGGTAAGACAGGTTATCCTTGACAGATAACAATTGGGGTGTAAGTTGTAGATATAAGATATTAGGAAGAATCATGTCGGAAATCTAAGTTGGTATGACTATTAGAAGTTTGAAAGAGACCTACATCAGTCATACAAATAAATAAAAAGGAGGGGGGAAATTGAGCTGTTTTTGAAACTAGATTGAACAAGTTACAAAACTCTTATTCACATGCTGTTGTAACTCTGAGATTTATCAGTGATCTGTTTTCAGACATATCTTGTGACTAGTAGGAAGGTTGGTCACTTTTCTTGGCATAACAAATTGAATGGTTTTACTCTCACCAGGAGAACTTGGCCGTGCTAAAAGTCCTGTAAAGCTGCATAGAAAGAAAGAATTAAAAATTAGTGCTTGTTTCAGAACTAGAACAATGTAAAAGCTAGTGAACCATGTTCTCTTGAGATATATTTTGATTCCTTTAAATTTTATGAGCCTTGGGAGGCATACAAGGAAACCTGGATACTAGAGCTATAGGGTTGCTGGTTTTTGTAGGATAAGATGACTTTGGTGCATGCTTAATTGATGAAAATGGAATGCAACCAACTAAGTTAAACTTGACATGTTTTTGTGAGTCGATATCTTCGTTAATACACACTTTGAAAAGGTCACATTTATCTCTTGTGTGTTTGATATGTGTTTATTCTCTCAAAGTGTTGTGTGACCATAGCTACTTAAATCTTCTGGTCTTTGACATCTATGGTAGATAGTGCTCAAATCATACTGGAACCAAGTTTCAAGTAGAATGGGTGGTTATACATTTCATTCATTCGGGCACCTAAGCACTGCATAATTGAGTGTAAATGTAATTGCTCTACATGACATGAGGATATAAAATATTAGCTGCTGAACTAGAAACTAGCTTATTCTTACTAGTGCAATGATGACTTGATGAGAGAACCAGAAGTTCCTAAAAGAGTACGTACTGATGGTTGTATTCTTTATCACTGGTCGTAGGATTAGCCATCAGTTCGAGTAATTCACTGCACAAGGGTTTAAAAGAAGCTAGCTAATCTGGTTTTGACTTTATAATAGAACATTCATAGTGTGTCAAATATGTGCATCACGGGTTACTAGTAGATTGATATCTTTGAAATGGTGAAATGTTGCATTATCTTGTTCTGCGGATTTCGAAATATATTGTTACATCCGTGATGGTATGGCTGATGTTCTAACTAAGACTGCATATCCTTAAGGTTGGCCCAACTCCTCTTTACCCAATATAGCTAAAGCTTCATAGCTTAAGTTATACTGTATTAGATGGTGTTGTCAGAATATATCTGAGTTAAAGGATTTGCATTGTAAACATGGGTTTGTCATTCTTATGGTTAGTCCATCATCTCCCTCAAACCTGTTGGAAAGATGTTGTTGATGTGGCTTGCTGGAGTCATTATTGAAATAGGTCAGATGAGTCAGTGAGCTTAATTACTCCAATAGTTGAGCTCCACGGCAAATGAAAAAAAAAATCCTGAGACTTGGTATATGTATGCACATCATGATAGCGGTAACCCAAGCAAAGGTTATTTACCAGCTACAGAGAAAGGCAAGCCAGGTAAGATAAGTTTCAAAAAGCAGTGCTGAAATCCTTGGACAAGAAACTCACAGTTATAGACATCTCCTGCTGCTGAAAGAGAAGAAAAGAATCCAAATGAGTAAAATGAAAATGATTCTTATCAAGAAAACTGCTCAGAACAAAGTCAGAAGAAATCACCAACACCCCTGCACATAAGCAAGGTATATCTTTCAGCCACAGCACAAGTAACTGAAGCAAAGGTATGGTTCTAAAGTTTTATTCTGTCCTAATCAACTTCTAGGTGATTTATAGTTATTAGTATGAGTGATGCATTGCATGAACATCAAAAGAGATCGTTTGGAGAAAGAGTAAGCATGACAAGCTTGCCCTGAACATACTCATCACGTGAAATATTTGGATGTGTGAGTCAGCTTACAAATAGAGTGATATATGCATAAAGGTGTTCAATTCAGTGTGACAGGGTCATTCATTTATGATCGTATCAGTCTTGATCTTAACTAGTGCATTCATATTAAACATCATCGGCCGTTATTAAATGCAAAGACATTCGGGATAAACTGGATGAGTGCTCTTAATGCCACAAGAATCAGGTGAATGTTGATTTTTGCCTATACTCTACCATGATTCCGATTGTGTGCAGTAGCTCAGGTCTAAGTACATAATGTGTACTGATTCTAGTCCCGGATTTCTTACTTGTTGATACTCTGTGATTATGGTGGGATAGAGAGGGACCTCTTTCTAAATAGGATGAACAAT